GGAGTACTAACTCAGAAACTTGGGCCCTGGCGAAGGCCGATAGCCTATCTCTCTAAACAACTGGACCCAGTAGCCTCCGGGTGGCCCTCATGCGTCAGACAAATTGCAGCCACTGCCCTGCTGAACCTCGGCACTGGAAACCTTTTGTACAAAAACTGAAAATAAAATTTCCGGAACCCACATTGCCACCTGGAGACTTAGTCTGGGTAAAGAAGCATAACCCCCAGACATTGGAGACTAGGTGGACTGGACTTCATCTGATTGTGTTGAGTACCCTGACTGCTGTTAAAGTCGACGGTGTCCGGACTTGGTTTCATCATAGCAGAATAAAGAGAGACTACGCCACAGAGGACGTGGACACTAACAGACGGATTGACTGGGCAAACTTTAGCCCAAAACAAAACATACCTCCTGAATACGGAAGACCAGGAATCAAGGATTTGATTAGTTCCTAGAAAAAGGGGGGAATGTGATGAAAGAAACGGAAGAACAGCTTCAGGGCTAACAGCACATTTTGGCTTCTGTAAGAAACTTGCTTGCTTGCTTGGGGCGGGAAGAACCGGGTTCCTGATTGGCTGATTCAAAATTAAACAGCTCCCTCCCGCCTTGGGGACTTCCCGCCCTGTGAAGGGTATAAAGGCCTCGCCCGACTGTTAGTTGGGGGCTCACCCACTTCTCTCCGAGTGGGACCCTGTCCGGACAGTTTGTGTAAGCTTCTATACTTGTACTTGTATAAATCCTTTGCTAATCTTTCTACTTGGTGTTGGTGATTCTCGGGTGTCCTTGGTTGGGACACGGGTTGCATTTACCGGGGAACTCAACTCCAAGCGTGTGGCTCCCGGACCACAACACCAGGGCACTAGAATAAAACCATCACTCTGACCAACCAGGCAGGGGCCAGATTCAGCCAACTCTATTTTCTGCCTCTCTTCCTGTTGCTTTCTCCACTCCAGCCACATTGGCCTCCTCTCCCACCTTGAGACCAATGCACTTGCTATTTCCTATGCCTACAACGCTATTGGCTCTGATTTTCACCTCATGGGGATGGGGGAGCTCCTTCTCATTTTTCAGTTATAAGCTCAATATCATCACTTCCAAGAGGCCTTCCATGACTACCCTGACTCAAGCAGCCACACCCAATCACTCTCCTTTTGTATTGCTTTGTTTTATTTTCTTCATAGAACTTAGCCCTATTTAGCAGAATCTTATTAATTTATGTATGTGCATATTGCCTGTTTCCCCTCAAGAAGGTCAGGGATTCCTGTCTGTTGTGTTCCTAGATGCCTAGAAGAGCCCCTGGCACACAACAGGTGCTTGGGATCTATTTGCATCAGTGATCGAATCTCTAGCACCTAACAGTGTGCTTGGCAAATAATGGAGTTTAACAAATATGGGTTGACTGAACCTCATTCTCATATTGAATCTATTATGATCTCTTCAAGCTCCCCAAGCATGGCTTGGCCCTGATAAATCCTCCCCAAGCCCTGATCTCTTTGCCTCCAAAGCTTCAGAATCAGAGACAAGCTAGAACAGAACGAAAATAGCAATGGTGAACAATCAGCTGTATTGAGATTCGGAGTACAAAGAAAGTCTACTGAAGGATTGTTTTATTTTACTTTTGTTGCACAATAAGCCACCCCAAAACTTTGTGGCTTAAAACAACCACAGTAATTTATTTATCTCATAATTTACAGTTGGAACAAAAGACTCAGTGGGGAAGGTGTGCTCCTGCTTCAGGCAAAGTCAGCTGGGCAGCTCAGCTGGGCACTGGACGGTCCACTTCTTTTTTTTAATTTTGCGGTACGTGGGCCTCTCACTGTTGTGGTCTCTCCTGTTGCGGAGCACAGGCTCCAGACGCGCAGGCTCAGCGGCCATGGCTCACAGGCCCAGCCGCTCCGCGGCATGTGGGATCTTCACGGACCGGGGCACGAACCCGTGTCCCCTGCATCGGCAGGCGGACTCTCAACCACTGCGCCATCAGGGAAGCCCTGGAGGATCCACTTCTGAGATGGTTCAATCACACGGCTGGCAAATTGAAGCTGGCTGTTAGCTGGAATTTTGGTTGTGGCTCTGGCTGAAACACTTACAGGTGCCCTCTTCGTGTGGCCTGGGTTCTTCACAGCATGGTGGCTGGGTCCTAAGAGCAAGCATCCCAAGAGTACCAGGTGGAAGCTCTATCCCTTTTTATGACTTAGCCTCAGAAGTCACACAGCATCACATCTCTCTGAGGGTCACAATCTCTCCCGGATTCAAGGTGAGAGACCTTACCGGATGGAAGGAGCATCAATGTCATATTGTAAAAGGAGCATGTGGGAGGGAAGATCTTGTTAAGGCCACCTTGGAGAACACAATCTGCCGCAAGGGTAGGTCTTACTAACCTACAGAGTAGTAGAGAGGAGCCCTTGTGATGTCTGTCACCTGTCTCCCAAAGATTTATACACAAGCAGCAGGTCCAGCCCCTGGAGGGCAATCTCTGAGCAAGGATCATCCATCCTAGCTGCCCCTCTCACTGGTTCTAGGTTCCTGCTTCTGTGCCACCAGTTCATACAACAGCTAGGATAATTCCACCCCCAGTTGAGTCTGAATCCTCTGGCCATGGGTACAACAACCCTGAGGACCACCTGGGGGACACTCCAGGAAGACAAATCTACAAAGTGGTTAAGGGTGTGACTTTGAAGATAGATAGACCTAGATTCAATTTCAGCTCAACCACTGCGCCACCAGGGAAGCCCTGTATATTCCAGTTTTGAGAATCAAAACCAACAAGTTGTGCCCTGCTTAATGGTGCGCCTGGGTGTGAGAGAGGCTGCAATCTAGCACACACTAGGCTTATTAAGCCACAGTGGTCACTAGTCTGTGTTGACCAAAGGGATTTATACAGAGGTTAAAATAACTGTAATCTTTTTTTTTTTGGCTGTGCCACATGGCATATAGGATCTTAGTTCCCCAACCAGGGATGGAACCTGTGTCCCCTGTAATGGAAGCGTGGAGTCCTAACCACTGGACAGCCAGGGAATTCCCAAACTAACTATAATTTTAAAAACTTGGGTCCAGTATGTTTGGCAACCCCAGAGTGTGTCAAGCACACACAATCTTTGTGCCCAAGCTCAGATACATCTTCATTCTGATCTATTCTGAGCTGTAGAAACATGATGGCTTAAGCTTCCTGAACAGCCTGTGCTCCTCACTGCTTAGCAGCTCCACAGCCCTCTCTCCTACAAGGGTTTTCCCTCCAGTCCCCTGGCTTTAAATACCATCCATATGCTGATGACACTCCCAATGTATATCTCCAGCCCCAGTGTTTCCCCTGATCTTCAAGCTCACAAGTCTAACTGGCTGAGGGGAAGCTCTACCTAAAGCGTCAAAACAGAACTCTCCATTTTCCTATCCCATTGTCCCCATCTCAGAAAATGGCTGTCAGCCACACCATTGCTCATGCAAAGATTTTAGCCATCCTTGACTCCTTTTTCCTCTTGACTCTCATCTCTATCCTAATTTTAGCAAATTCTGTTGACCCAGCACTTCTCCCCAGCTCCACCATCACTACCCTTGTCTAGCCACCATCATCTCTTGCAGAACAATTTGTACAGCTCTCTCCCTGCTCCCACTTTGATCCCCTATGCTCATTTATCTAGACTAGGCAGGATAAGCCTTTAAAAGCAAGAATCGTATCAGAACACTCCCCTGCTTAAAACCCACCAATGGCTCCCGATTATACTCAGAATAGAATACAAACTCTTCACCATGGCCAATGAAATTCCATGCCCACCCATTTGTGTGAGGTCAGATTTTAATCTTCATATAATCAAAACAATATCTCACAATAGTTTGAAAACAAACAGATGTGAGACTCCAGCTGTCTTATATTAAGCCAGACATTAAAGAAATTTGGAAAAATGTAAAACAATGCCACTATTTTCACTACATATTTTTTTGACTTTGGAAAATAGAGTTATTTTTCCTAGAAAATGAAAATGTTACTTATGTCGGGGTTTAAAATAATTATTTTTGGCTGCATTGGGTCTTCGTTGCGGTGCATGGGCTTCTCATTGCAGTGGCTTCTCTTGTTGCAGAGCACGGGCTCTATGCATGCCGGCTTCAGGAGTTGCAACACGCGCGCGGGCTCAGTAGTAGTGTCTAGACAACTAGCTGTTGTCTAGGAACTCTGGAAGATCTCTTCAGTAGTAGTCACGTTCTTTATTCTCCCGCCCAGGGACATTTTAGAGCCTTGGCCCACTCCCTCCTTTCCTACCAGCTACTACTCACTACGCTCCAGACAGAGAAGGACACTCATCTCTTCTACTGTAAGTTGCCTATAGAGTTTAGGCTAGGGACACTACGACTGCATTCGCGCAGCTGCTCCTTCTCTGACACCATCACTGCTGAGCCAGGAGCCCAGAACCATCGGACAGGAGGAAGGCAGCAGGGCATCTTGGGAGTTTTTGAGACAGTAAGGGCCCTACAAGAAACAACTGCAGTTCAGAGAGGTGCAGCTATCGCCCACGGTTACAGCAGAGCCGGGTCTAAGCCTCCGGCCTCCTGGGTACCACACCAGCTTGTAAGTTCTCCTTTTCCCAGTCACCCAGCAGCGAGGGTGACGTGCTGTCCGCTAACACAACGCTCTGCGCCGTAGCGGGCCTCACGGCCCTCCTGGAGGTCGTCGCACTCCTGCCTCAGGTAGCTGGAAAATCTCAGCCAATCCAGAGGGCTCTGAGGCAAAGAAGGAGGTTAGAAAAGGCAAAGTTTAGGACAGGAGCGCTAACCAGTCGGGCGCCTACCTGCCTGAGTGACGGCCACCAGCACCCACTTGGAGACGCCGCCCCGAGCTGGGGGGATGGTTAGTGGAGAATGAACCAATCCGTGACGAGGGAAGGCAAATTTGAGCCAATGATAACTGAGAAGGTGGGAAGGGGTGGAGCTCTCCCGGTGGCTGATCGGTGGTGAGTGCAGAGATCAGCTTTCTCTGCTAGTTCCCACCCTCGGACTTCTTAGCCCCTGGAATGCGAGAGAGGCTCAGGGAGTTCCCGGACTGGGGCGTAGAGGTATCGCCCGCAATGGCCTGGGGGCGAGACTTCTAGTTGGAGGAGGTGCTGAAAGCTACCGGGTGGGCATCGAGGAAGCGGAGGCTGCTTAGGAGGCGGGACTTCCGGGGAGGGGCTTTGTCGACGGGGCGGGGCCTGCTGCTAAGGTTAGGCCGAAGGGGCGGAGCTAAAAGTAGACCACTGGATGTGACCTGGGAGAAAGAAGGGTAGTAGTTTAAGCGAGCCACTTGGGGTCAGGACGGGGCTGCCAGAGGCTTTGGGGGTGGCAAGTAATAGCTCAGAGGTGACGTTATGGTTTATGGGAGGGTCACCTGCCCTAACCCCCTGTCCTCTTTTCCCAGGGAGCCACTGGTGGCGACCTTCCTAGGGTCCCTTTCCCTTCGTGGGGTGCTATGGAGTTCCCAGAACACAGCCAGCAGCTGCTGCAGAGCCTCCGAGAGCAGCGGTCCCAGGGTTTCCTTTGTGACTGCACGGTGATGGTGGGTAGCACCCAGTTCTTGGCCCATCGGGCTGTGCTGGCCTCCTGCAGCCCATTTTTCCAGCTTTTCTACAAAGAGCGGGAACTGGACAAGAGGGACCTGGTGTGTATCCACAACGAGATTGTCACAGCTCCAGCCTTTGGGCTGCTTCTGGACTTTATGTATGCTGGCCAGCTGGTCCTGAGGGGGGACACCCCTGTGGAGGATGTGCTGGCAGCTGCCAGCTACTTGCACATGAATGATATTGTCAAGGTGTGTAAGCGGCGGCTGCAAGCCCGGGCCCTGGCAGAGGCGGATAGTACCAAGAAGGAGGAAGAAACCAACTCACAGCACCCTAATTTGGAGTTTTTGTCCAGCACTTCCCGTGGCCCCCAACTTTCGTTGGCATCTGCAGAGACATCAGGCCACTGGGGCAAAGGGGAATGGAAAGGCTCAGCAGCTCCCTCACCTACTGTCTGTCCTCCAGATGAGCCACCGATGCCGGCTGGGGCTGATACTACACAGCCTGGCGTGGAGGTTGACTCATCGCATCTGCGGGCACCTCCTCCACCAGTGGCTGATGTCTCTCTTGCCAGCCCCAGTAGCTCCACAGAGACCAACCCTGCAAACTACTTTTCTTCGGGCCTCCCAACGGTTTCAGTGGAGCCACTGGCTCCCCTTGATGTGGTTTCTGAGAATCTGAGGGTGGTGGAACCAAGGGGACCTGGAGGACCACTGCAAGGCTTCTATCCCCCAGCTTCGGCTGCAGTCCCAGTCCCAGCCCCAGTTCCATCCCAGGCTCCAGCCCCAGCAGAAGCGGAGCTGGTCCAGGTGAAAGTAGAAGCTATTGTGATTTCCGATGAGGAGCCCGATGCCTTGGAGGAACAGCCTCGGGGTCCTGAGGGACTGTTCCCACCTGGAGGAGCAGTGTATGGTGAACAGCCCCCCCAGCCAGAGGCCTTTGAAGAGCCAAGGGCAGCAGGACTGGAGGAGGTGGGGGCCAGTGACCACTTCCTGCCGCCAGATCCTCACCTACCCTACCATTTGCTGCCAGGTCCAGGGCAGTATCATCGAGGACTGGTGACCTCACCCCTGCCTGCTCCGCCCACCCTGCACGAGCCACTCTACCTGCCTTCCGAGTATGAAGCAGCCCCGGGAAGCTTTGGGGTTTTTACTGAGGATGTTCCCACTTGCAAGACATGTGGGAAGACCTTCTCATGTTCTTACACACTACGGCGCCATGCCACAGTGCACACGCGTGAGCGACCCTACGAGTGCCGCTACTGCCTGCGCAGCTACACGCAGTCAGGGGACCTGTACCGCCACATCCGCAAGGCTCATAATGAGGACCTGGCCAAACGCAGCAAACCGGATCCAGAGGCTGGCTCCCTCCTGGGAGTGCAGCCCATCCCTGGCTCCCCGACAGCAGACAGACAGAACAGCAGTGCTGGAGGGCCACCCAAAGATTTTGTACTTGGCCCCAAAAACTAACATCTGTGAGAGCACGCCCTGATGCGAGGCCCGCTCTTGCCACCGTTAGGGGGCAGCACGGAAGGTGGGAAGCGTCTCGTTTCCCCTGCTGGGGACAGAATGAAGATTCTGCCCAGGCTGTAGGTTCCTACCCTTTTCTTTTCCCAGCTAGATAGCAGGACTTTATGGGGCATCGCATCTCAGTCAACTCCTCACCAAGGGCACTGGGGATTTTCCTGAGGTGTAATCGCTTCTCACTCTGCGTTTGGACCCATAAAGCTAGCAGTGAAAAGTATCTCTCTGAACTGGTCTTGCCTGGTTTCTTCCACAAACCTGCACGCCTGCTGATTCTTTCACACCTCTCCTCCAGACCTAGGAATTTGATACCTGTACTTGGGGTAGGGGTGGGGGTCAGGTTGTTTATGAGGAAAAAAGTGGGAGAGGCAGAGGGCAGTGTAGACTTTACTTAGAAAAAGTGTACAAATTAGGGAATTTCACACAATTACGGTTTATTGTTGTAGTTGAGCTCCTCCTGTGTCCTGGGCTGTACTGGGGACTTCACATAAATACTCATTTAATCCTCAACAACTTTATGAGCTATTATCCCTCTCCCCGCTCTTTTCCCCACAGACAAGGAAACTTGAGACTGAACAATCAACGTTAACTTGTTCTGGGTCACAGAGCTAGATAAGGGGCAAGCCGGAATTTGAACCCTGGCTTATGACTTCAGATACCTTGCTGGTTTAAAACACTGTTGAAGATGGTTAACTTTGAACTAGAAGTTGTTTTCTTTTTCGACCTTTTGAGTGTTTGGTTTTGTTGCCTTACCCCTTTCCCTCTGCTTTCCATGTAGAAAGGCCTTTGATTGACTGTTTCAACAACAGATACTGTATTGATGACTTGAAATTTTTGCCTGCATGTCTTAAATGTGCATTGAGGTCTCTGAAGATGACAAACTGGAAGGCAGAAAACACTAAGCTCCACGGTGGTAGGCGTGTAGGGGCAGATTGAGGACTTGTGAAATGGAAATGATGGGCGCTTGGGAAAACTAAAGCAAGAAACTCTAGATGAGACAATCTTAGAGTTCATCTGGTCTAACTCCCTCACTTAAAAGTTGTGATGACAGCCTAGACAGGTCAGATTACTCAGGTACGGTCACACAGGTGGTTACTGACAGTAGAGATAGCAAAGAAATGGGAATTTGGGGTGTTGATGTGGCATGGGGGGAAAAAAGCATCCTAGGAATGTAAGAGAAGGGTCTGCCCCTGCCTGTGGTGAAGAGTGGTGTTTGTAGGATGGACCAGAGGGCTCCCCACAAACTCTCTCTCTTTGGCACATAAGGAACTGAATGCAAAAAAAGCAGGAAGGAGTATTTAGAAAATATGAGTGAATTTTCTGAATTTCTTCTCTTTTTGGATTTGTCACATTCGGCCCTGTGAACTCGCACTAGCAAGCTGTTTTTGAGTCATAGGAAGGAGAGAGCTGAGCATCAAAGATTTGGCCAAAGAAAGCTCCCTACTTGGGGTATGATGGGAAGCAAAAGTTAACGCTTAACATTTCCATGGCTGAGAGACTGAATTCTGTGCTTTTCATTTTCCTTGTGTTGGAATAATCTTTTATTTTATTTTTCAAATGGCTAATTTTATTTATGCAAATACATTACTGCCTTAACTCCTTGGTGAAACAAGACAAGATATACATACATACAGTAAGAGCTATTTTAGCTGACTGGAGCACCTTTTCCTGGAGTAAGTATCACATCAAAATGCCTATAAGAATCAGTTGCCTTTAAAAGAGTGAAATTTATGGTATGTGAATTATCTATCAATTTTTTTAAAAAGGAGGGGGGAAAAAAGAAATCGGTTGCCTCAGAACATCAGTTCCTAAAAGCAAGGCATAATAAATATGTGTACACGTATATATAATGTATGTAGTTTCTCTGGACCACCTGGGGAACACAGGAACCTTGTTACTGTCTCGGCCAAGTGCGATACTTAACTAAAGAGGATGTGTTAACTTGGTGAGATTCTCCTGAAGAGCAAGCATTTGCCTTTAGTTCCCAGCATGGAATGCTTTCTTCATTGGAGGTGGCAGCCAAGAATTTGCAAGATGTTTAAAGCAGCAGCCAACACAATTACGGCCACAGTTGCCTCACTTTATCTATCTGCTGGACACCAAGAGCAGTTTAGGCCTGTCTGTAGAGGTGTGATCAAGAGAACTTTCTCTGGTTTCCACTACTCTTGACAGTCCCATCCATGGATTCAACGAACCATAGGCCAGCTCATCTAACCTCTAGTCCAACACTGGATCCTCCTTTTGCCAGGTGTTGAAAGAGAACTCACTATTCCCAAAGGAAACATACTCTACTGTTGGACAACCCTAATTGGTGGATAATTATTCCTTCTACTGAGCCAAAATCGGCCTCCTTTTATGGTGGGATGGCCCCAGGCTATTAAGAGTTTAACCCCCTGAGAAGTTATTTGCTTTTGAGCTACAAGCTGATTTGTTTTCAGACAACCACCCTTTGCTCTCCAGTTTTAGAGGCCTCTTCCTAGTTTAGGATTTCATTTCTTAATTGGCATTTTGTAAGTGTATGCCTTCACTTGCTCTTAGCTTCACAAAACTCACCATTTTAGCCCTTCACATTAGGTTTCACTTTCTCCAAAGCCAGTGTTTCCAAAGATGGTTTACTTCAATATATACTAATAGTTTTTTTTTTTTTTTACTGTAAAATACATTTATTTTTATGGTTGATATTGGTTGTTTTGTTTTGGGGGTTTTTTTGGTGTGTTTTTTGGCAAATGATATGAAGTGCTCTAAAGTCCCCTCCCCAATTTTATCCGTAAGCAATTTCAGCATGCACCTCTAAAAGAACTCTTAGAAAGAGCAAATACCATGATCACACCCAGCAAAACTGTTAATAATTCTTGTTCAAATTTCCCTGATTGTCTCGTAAACTTTTAGTTGTTTTTTCAAATCAGAATCCAAATTCCAAGGGTTTTAGGAGATCTGTGCCAGGAGCTGGGAAGAGACCAATATATATTTTTTTTCTTATTTCACACACAGTCTCATAAAAACTTTTAGTTGTTTTCTTCTAATCAGAATCCAAAGTAGAGTCACATTTATTTGGTTGGTGGCTCTTAAACTTCTTTTAATTTATAGGTTCCCCTCTCTTTTTCCTTGCAATTTATAGAAGAAATTGGTTTATTCATCTTATGGTTTCAGCCTGGGGTTTGCTGATTACGTCCCCATGGTATCATTTAACATATTCCTCTGTCCAAAAATTCCTTTCAAAATATATATTTAAGTAAAATATTGACTAAAAAGTAGTATAGGTAGTATGTGATTTTGGCAAAACTGTAAAGATGGTGGGTGTTGGTTTGGAGGGAAACACTGTTCTAAACTGTCCCTTATGTGCAGTATGAATCCTCACATCACCATGAATGCTTTCTCTTCAATCAAACCCTCAAATCCTGTGTGGAAACCATTAAGGACTGGTAAGGTGAGCAGCCTCCCCCCTCCACAAACTTCTGAGTACAGAGATTGAGGTACCTCTGGCTGATTCCTTCAGGATGTGGGCTGGCCAGACCTCCTCCAGACCCACATCTGACTGCCTGCCTACCTTTGTCCACTTTCCCATTCGTTAACATCTCTGTTAGGAGCTGGCCTTCAAATTAAAGACCGAAATGTAAGTCTGACCACTTTGTGTCTTAGAAGTGCTAGAAAGGGTTAGTGCAATAAATTTCTACAGTACATTTTTAAATATCAGTTTTATTTTTTCCTCATTGATGCAGAGCATAGCTTACTGTAACATCAAGTCTTAGGGGAAAAAAAGAAAATCAGAAAGCAAAACCAACCCCAAACAAACATAACACACAACCATGCATGACATAATTTGGCAACAGTCTAGGCTTAGAAATTTAAGAAACTTGGAAGAGGAATCAAATATTCAACTTTTGTTAGTTCTGTCCTTGGACTTAAAAGATTATTTGGTATGAAAACTTTTTGTTTGTAAGTTGATGGCTCTATTATTTAAGGGTACAGGGAGACTCAAAGAGGAGCCTAGCTCATTGAGAGACAGGCATTACTGATAAAGGGAGAGGAGCTTGTGTACACTTGGCAAGACTAAGGGGTTTTTGTCGGAAATCTGTCTGTGTATGATGGCTAATGATACAGCAGCTTATTACCTTCACTCATAAAGGTAGAGGCAGTGTTATTATGGTCTTATCTACTCTGTACAACTCATACATTGTGGACATTAGCAGAATGACAAAGGAGCTCCCGGTTGATGAAGCCTCCTACTGAGCCATGACTGCACCAGATCTGCGCCTGCACCCATGCCCAAAAAATCTTCCAGAAAGTTCGTTGGTGCTTAAAAGGCCCTAGGGGAAGAGAACCTTTCCTCACTGTTTCCCTCCTCTTTAAGGAAGTGAGCTCCTGCAAAATACAAGGGGGCAGGTAACAAGTAAAGAACAGATCTATGTTTTTATCCTGTTCTTTTATGGTATTGTTTCTAGAAGACTCGGTAAACTGTCTTTCCTATGGTTTTTTAGAGAAATGAGCATACTATAGATATGCACCTATTAAAAATTAAAATGTTTACGAGTGTTTTTTTGGCATGAGAGCTTTTAAAAGATTACAAAATATATACTTAAATGCTTGACTCCAGAAGTTTTAAGACAGAAGGGTTTAATAAAAAAATAAATAAGTATACTCTATTAATGATCTGAGTGTGAACGATAGCAAGGACTAGAAATTACCAAGAGAAACAAGAGGAGCTAGATACTTTTGTGGGGGAAAAAGAATCTGAATGTATGTGGAACATTAAGACAAAGGAATTATTTTAATCAAGATGGTTAATTTAAAATCTTTCATTCTGAGCCGTGTGGGCCCAATTTATAATTGTCTAGTTTCACAGTATATATATTTGCCAGTTTGTGGCCTGTGTAAGTTTGGCTTTGGGAATCTGAGGAAATGAAGGAAGAAACTCCTTTCTGCCTTCCTTATCCCTTCATCCTCTGCTAGCCTTCTCCTTTGTACATGACTACATCTACCAACATCTATCATTAAAATCTCTGCCAAAGATATGATTAATTCCACCCATAACTGATGAATGTTTTCTGGTTGTATTTCTCAAGGCAAATATCCCTAATAATACCACATATTAAAAGCCGTATAAATACATAGATGGAGAAACAAAAACAGACACAGACCATGTAAGCAATAAAGAGTTCGTGCAGAACTAGAAACAAAACAGAAGTTCACCTCGGTCAGAGGTACGGGGTTAATTTCTCTTGCTGAGGCTCAGGTTTCCCCTTGATGGCTCTTTAATGGTTCACCGAAGTTCCAGTGGAGGGGGGTATCTTTCTTCTTTGTTAACCAAACATGCCCAGGTAGAGCTGCTTCTCTTTCCGATGGTAGCTGCTGAGTTCTGACTGCGTTAGCTGAAGGTACCGCCGGACACTGGCGTCTTAGAACAGGGCAAAGAAGGCAATTAGAGACAGGCCATAATCGTACCTCTGGGCAGAAGAGGATTATGAACACACTTCCATTTCCTAAAATCTTTCCATTTGCATATATCACAATAATTCTATGCAATAGTAAATCTCATTCATTAATTATGTGCATTATTAAAAAATCTTGTACAGGGATGCTAACTTAATAATTAAAAGGAGCTTGGAGAAATTGTTTTTGTCAGAGCAAGTCTCTAAAGCTACTATATACATGGCTGGCAGTTAATCTACGTACTTGAAGGTAAGAAATGTGAACAACGGCTCATATATCTATTAATTCAAAATGGATTTCCCGTTCAATTAGAGAGATTTTGCTGAATTATTGTAAGTTTGGGGACCCTCTTACTTCAGTAGCCACTCTAAGCCAGAATGCAAAACGGGAGAAAATTTTCAGTGCTGAACCACCAACACAGGAATGAGCCTGTCATTCTCTTCACAATATTCTTTTTCCCTTGGAAACAAGGGAAACAAGCCTCAAATTTTCTCTCAGGAGGCCTGTCCTTCTAGGTCATACCTGGGGTTAGCTGAGCTAAAGGATAAATGGATAGTTAAGCAAAGGCCAGACCCCAGCTGGAGAACTGGTAGAAATGAGGATTATCATGTTTATTCATTGGAATCCAGATCCTATTTTTGTCCCCATCTAGGAACTGAAACTTGAAAAACAGCATTTTAAGATGATTTCTGGAGCACATACAATATTGCTTTCCTGTGGAGGCAAGAATACAGGAGTAGAAGGCCTGTTTGTCATATATCTTTTTACACTTTTTGAATTTTGAACATGTGAATGTATTATTACCTATTTTCAAAATTCAATAAATTGAAAGATAAAACCCTCCCACAGATACTGCCTCAGCGGAACAATTTTTTGTACTTAATACTTCAATGCCCTGCTCTCACCTTTTGGCTGCCTGTTGACAGCGGCCACGAGGTAATGCCGAGCCCGGTCATAGTCCTGCAGGTGGAAAAAGGCCACTCCAGCCCGATACAAGGCCTTGGCGTTATCAGGCTGTCGCTCCAGGACTTTCTGACTGTATTCTTTCACCCGTTCATAGTTTACTGGCTCCATCTGAAGAAGACAGGCTAATGGGGCCAAGTGGAAGGAAGAGAGAAGAGGGAGGAGGACCTCATTACACTAAGTCCCATTGCCCAACTCAAGGCAGTACCAAACCTAGGATGATGTCAACAACATTCACTCATCCAAAAAATACATTTAAGTGCCCACCACATGCCAGACGTTCTTCTAGCCATTGGGGATACAGCAGTGAATATAAGCTTTACATACCTCACAGTTTACTATCTACCAAATGCCTAGCACATACCTAGTGTGGGTCAGGCCCAGCTATAAAAGTTGATAAGAACATACTTTAAAATTTATTTATGGGGACTTCCCTGGTGGTCCAGTGGTTGGGACTTCGCGCGTCCACTGCAGGGGGTGCGGGTTCGATCCCTGGTCGGGGAACTGGGATGTTGCATGCTGCGTGGCACAGCCAAAAAAAGAAAAAGATTTATTTAAAACTCTTCATTGTATCTCTTCTACCCAAGGCTCTCTGTCTTGAATCTCCCATTTCACCGCAGTGCTTGTACTGAAGCTCTGTTAACAACAACCGTTGCCATTAATTGTGTGAGGAAATAGTAAGCGCTGTGCTATGTGCTTCTTTAATCTTCTCATCCACCCTCTGAAGTCAGTATGTGTTACCATCTCCATTTAATGGATGAAGAAATCAAGGCTCACAAAGGTCAAGTAAGTTGTCCAAGATCCCACAGCTTCTAGGTGGAATGAGTAAGAAATCTGAACCAAGGACTCTCTAACTCAAAAATTAGCACCATTCTCAATGATGATATATTACTTCACTATTCCCTTGGATGAAAGAATGGGACCTCAAACCAAAAATCTGTTTAGGACGCAATGTTCAGGTCAGTGTTCTGCCTTTCTATAAGTACGAAGGGAAATGCATTCCCTGTTTCATAACTGTGGGAATTAAAGATAGCATTATTAAATCACGGTGCTGAGAAGGAAGGAGAATCAGGGCTGATGTCTGCAACCCTTCTACAACACCCCCACCAAGTGGCCATATGGTTTATGTCAATACTTAGGTACTTCCAAGCGGTCAGTTAACCCATCACTGTAGCTTCATTCATTCATTCGACAACTAGTTATGGAACACTGACCATGTGCTAGGCGGAGTTAGGAGCAGGAGAGGAGAGGAACGAGACAGACACCTTGACGAGTAAATAGATCTTGCATCCCAGTTCCCAGGTAGGAGGAATGCACTAAGAAATTCACTTATTTATTAGTGCTTTGAGGAAAACAGAACTGTGCTGGGACAGAGAGTGAATGAGGTCAGAGTGATGTTTGATTACAGAAGGCCTCCCTGAGAAAGTGACTTTTGGGCCAAGATCTGAATGACAAGGGTCATTCAAGGGACAGGGCATTCTAGCTGACAGAAGAGATCCTACAAAGCTGGAAGGTGGATGCATGCTTTGTGAATTTGGTCTATGGAGGAGCCAGATCAGGTCAGGCCGTGCCGGGGAAGGTCAGAGTTTGAATATTTTCCTAAGTGTAATGCGATGCCATTGGACAGTTTTAGACAGTGACACGGTCTGATTTCCTTATCTGTAAAATGGGGAAAATCATAACTACCTTGCAGAATTTTTATAAAGATGAGAGATACTATAAATAAACTGCCCAACATGTAAACTTCACTCACATGTAAGTGAAATTTAATTTTAGTGAGTCTTTATGGAGCATCTACCAAGCACCCCCAAGCAGAGGGTCTATACATGGATAAGCTATAGTCTCTGCCTTCAAGTCCACCTGGAGAGTCACAATATTTACAAGTACCTATCTCATTTCCTTGATTTCTGGTGAATTCCCCAATGTGTATTCTATTCTCTAATAATGCACAGTATTCTGCAATAAGAGCTTAAGCTCTGCAATTAAGACTTCCCAGGTTTAATTTTAGCTCCACCACTTATTAGATGTTTCCTTAAATCTACCTCAAAGGATTGCTGTGACACTTAAATAGGTTTATATGCATATGTGTATAAAAGGCCTAAACATGGCATTTCATAAATGTCACCTTAATGAGCCTTCCCTGACCCCTACCTAACATTTCCATGCCTAGGGCACTCACTATCCCCATTTTCTCTTCTTTTCTTTTCTTTTCTTTTTTTTTTTGGGCCACTCCACACAGTATGTGTGATCTTAGTTCCCTGACGGGGGATGGAACCTGCACCCCCTGTATTGTTAGCATGGAGTCTTAACCACTGGACCGCCAGGGCAGTCCCTATCCCCATTTTCTGCTTTATTCTTTTCCGCATTACTTATCATCTTCTAATATATGTTACCTCTTCTGTTAATTGTCCACCTCCCCATGAGAGCAGGGATCTTTATCTGTTTTATAATACTGCAGTATCCTCAGTACCCAATAAATAATTGTTGAATGAACTTAAATATTAGCTACTCTAATTACTGTTACTTGAGTCTAAGAGGAGCTCTGGACACACACTGTAAAAAAGCTAGATTTTCACCAAATCACAGCTGATGAGTGTTGCAGAAAGCAAAAAAAAAAAAAAAAAAAAAAAAAAAA